ATAAAGTGGTACACATGGGAATGGCAGGGAATGGCAGGGCAGAGGGGGTACGTGGGCGCCCAAGAGCCCATCATGAGGCTGATGCAACAGGTCTGGCCCTGGACATGAGGATGAGTGTTAACAAGAACTCCACAGATGATTCCGCTGGCCGGCAAGGCAAGAAAACATGCACAGCAGCACAATGCCTGTCACAGGGGAGAGGCCTGCAGATGTTAAACAGTGCTTTTATGTATGAATAGAGGGCTCTGTGCTCTCTCATGAAATTGATTGTCACTTCTCACTGAACACAAGGTAAGAGCTGCCTTAATGAGTGGCTTACAGCTTTTGCTCTGCTCTGCTGGGGGGGGGGGGAGTTAATGAACAAAGAAAAGAAATGTCACCTAAGGCACAGCACCTGAAGGTTGAGCATGAAGGAACCCTAAGATCTCTGGCATGTGGTCACATAGAATTCTGCTGAAGCAGATCTGCAGTTTGTCTTAAGGTATGGAGATCGCCAAGTCATTAGGTGACCTGTGTGCTTACCCACAATCAGTATTCATATCACATTTAGATTCTGTTGTACTTTATTCACCACCATCAGTAGACAAAAGATTTGCTCCTTGTCAAGTGACCTCTAAAGAAAGTCAACTGCTAATCTACAAAGATACTTGCAAATATGGGGAAATGGAAAAGGTCTCAGAAAATACTCTAGCAAATGTCAAAGGTCTATTGTATAGTCACATTTTTTAACATAAGGGAAAGGTCTTATTGTATTTCATAAGTAGTTTCCAGCAATAAAAGGCCACATGGAAAGATCAGAGTGCATGGTATACAACGCACCCAATATTTCAATGATTTGTCTGTCTGCCGTTCTGCTCTTCCCTCCTGCAACGTTCTGGCTGTTAGAAGAGTAACTGAAATGTAACCCTAGGAGAGGTTCACTGAGCAAATTAAATGCTGTGAGCCACACAGAATGGTAGCCACTGCTGGCCATCTTTAGCCCCCTAGGACACGAGGCTCCTGGAAGCCACTACAAAGGCTGGACTGTCAGCATGTGGCTGTGAACTGAGCCAAAAGCCCAAGAAGTTCAAATGGTCTAACAAAGATGCTAGAGCCTGAGCTGCCCACAGCTGGTATACTCCTTTTGCTTTCAATTTTCTCTGAGGAAATGAGAACTACTGTGGACAATAATGAAAAGGCCAAACAGGCTATCGAGTGTTGGGAAAGTTGGTCATTCTCTCTCCCTGAACAGTGAAGAGCTTTATTCAAGCACACTAATCCAGGGGAAATCTGTTTTCTTTAGCAGTTTACTCTGTGTCATTAGTGGAAAGACTGCATCTTTCATGTTTAGAATTTATGCTTTTGAGCTATATACGAATATAAGTATAGACTGCTTTAAATGTAAAAAAATCTACCGGGCAGGATGGTACTCACCTGTAAATCACAGCTCTCAAGAGGCTGAGGTGGGAGGATTGCTGAGTTCAAGGCCAGCCTGTATAACAGCACTGAAACCCTGCCCACCTCTCTCCAAAAAAATTTTAAATGTTATTTCAAACCTACAACTTAAATATAACTATACAGTGATTTAGTCTTAATAAATGAGTTGATTTGCCTCAGTGACTAGATCTAGAAACAGACGAAACTAAAGTTGTGACTACTTGGGCTGTCGAGTTGTTTACTAATGGTTACAAGCAGCTTTCTTAAATGTCTGCTGTGCTGCGATACAAGGTTCAGTTTCTTCAGGCTCACTGTGCCTGGGTCACTGCTGCAGGCCCACATGGCTTGACTCTGGGCCCTTCCTTATACTCTTTCTAAGCCATTCTTGGTGTTTTCCTGCCTGGCCAAATCATATATGGTCTCCAAGGGAAATTCAGCTTCCAGAATCTTACTCAGGATTTCAGAACTACATGACCTCTGCTGAATGCTCTTTTATTTTGTTTATATTTTTTTGAGACAGGGTCTTGCTATGTAGTAGAGGCTGGCCTTGAACTTACTCTATAACCCAGGCTGGCCTGGATCTTGCAGAAATCCTCCTGCCTCCATCTCCTGAGTGCTGGGATTACAGGCATGTGCTGCCACACCTGGCACTCCTGAGTACTCATAATTACTTAACATAGCTAGGTAAAAATATACCCTATGATTTGTTTTATATTATTTTTTGTTTTTTCAATATATGTATTTTTTGGGGTGACAATGGATGCGCTATGGAAGGTAGCTGCACTGAGCTACCTTCTCAACTCTTTATTATCTGAGACAGGGTCTTGCTAAGCTATCCAAGCTGGCCTCCAACTTATAAATCTCCTGCCTAAGCTTCCTGACTAGCTCAGCTTACAGGTGTGCACCACCACATCCACCTCAGTATACATCATCTGTACCCATGAGGACGCAAACTTCTCGAAGGCAAGGTCCCGCCTCCCACAGAACATACTTTTAGTTCTATCCCCCTCCCACAGCCACTCTAACCTAACTGAAAACTTTCACATGTGCACACTTTTGCTGCCTAATAAACTAATTACTGCAACTCAATAACTGGCTTATAAAGTGTACAACAAAATCAAACAATGGGTGAGCTAATTTGTTATTTGTAGTCAAAGAAGAAATAGGCTATATTAAACACAATGCAACACCAGAGATTATGATGAATATAACTAATTTTTGGTGCAATGACTAACAAATTAAAACTATATTATGAACTTATTATCACTACGTAATTAAAAGGAACACAATGAACCTTCCTTAGATGAAGCTTCTTTCCTCTAAGTTAGCAAGCTGCTTTTGAGTCCAGATTACTCCAGTATTGAGAGAAATCACCTGGTCACATATTGAAAGGTTTTGTGATCAGAGGTACATTTTGTGATCAGAGGTACACATGAAATAAATCACCTGAATAAATCAGAGTAATATGCGATGTTTTGAGAACACAGTGGACCACATGTGCTTTTAGACAAAATTTTCAAATATTCAGTGCAACTAATACTACCTGAGTCCCTTCTATTGGTAGAACATTCCATATCCTCAAGAGAGTTATGATCTAGCAGGATTATATATAAAGTAAGTATACTAATGGTGGGAATCAAAGTACTGAAAGTAAAACTTCTACAGTTATTATTACAGAAACAACGTATTTGTATAACGCCACATAATTGGTGTTATACTTTAAAATAAGTATAAACTTTCCAAGTGTTCTCAATCTTGGTGAAAAATACCCTAGAGACACACAGCAATTACTTTCCTTGTTTTATATTTTCTCTTATTCAGTACTTCCTGCTACAACTTTAGCCCAACTTCTTGTCCTAACATCTCACTGCCCATTTGTACTAGTTGCCTAAAAGAGGGCAGCAACAAGTGTGAACAGCAGAGAAATTATTTTATGGCAATTTGTTTTAATCTGTAGTCTGCCGGGTTCCACCTGAATACTGATTATAATAGTTATTCATTTCAGCACCAAACTTCCTTTCCTCACAATCTGCCATCAGTGCAGAGCTCAGAAGCCTGAACATCAAAAGCTCTGTTGGTGCCCCTTGGACTCTTGGGATTGCTCTTCTCTTAGGGTATTCTGGACTTGTGGCCTTTACGATCCTCTGCACCTCTGACTCTGAATGAGTAATTTTTTCCTCTCTTCATTCTGCCCCATTGCCACTTATACTGTTACACAGGTGCTTTAGGATTTAGAGACTGTTAACAAAAATCATGCTATAAATACAGAAAGCAACAAGTTACTGTAAAAAGAGTGCTATTCATTTAAACAAATTGCATTCCAGTAACTTTAATGAGGTTTTTCTCCTCAATTTAAGCTCTGGTTTTGCACTATGAGTGGTAACTATGGTCTAGGATTATTATGAGAACTCACTGAATTTAAACAGAAAAATAGCATACCATAATTCCTTCTAGTCAATAAATGTTGCATTAATGATAGCAGTTATTATAGTTAATAATCACCAAAATGTTTCTTACATTTGTTATAGCAGTGTGTAGATCCAAGTCTACTTTTCTAACCTAAAGTAAAATGAATCACCATAATAGTCATTTAGTTCTTTCAGCTGAAGCAAATGGGATCACCTGCGTTCCTGGCTTTTTTAAAATAGTGATATGAGCAGGGGTCATTTCTAGGAGGAAAATGACCATGTCTGCTGTCAAGTGTTCTGAGGGTTCTTCAAATGTGTAGCAAAGTTATAAAGCAATTTGCTACTAAAATATTTCTAGATTTTGGGCCTTTAGACTTAACCTATCTCCTAAACAATAATCTCTCAACTATTCTGCTTACATTTAGGGAGATCTTCATTAAGCAAAGGATGCATTGCAGGGTTATGCTTTATTTACAGAAAAATTTGGTAACCAAATGTGTTCCATGTCTGAAGTATTTTAAACCACTTTCTTAACTAAGAAGAGAGAGTCTAAGTTAGATGCCACAATAAATGGTACATTAAAAAAGAAAAAACAAAACAAAACAAAACAAAACAAAACAAAACAAAACAAAACAAAACACCAGCACCGCTTTAATGTCATGGTTTCTGCCAATGTACTCCAAGGCAGGAAGACCCACTTCCTCCAAGAGCTTCGTGGGGAGACAGGAACTCACTGTTCATGAACAGTGTGAACATAAGCCCACATGTCTGCGCCATGTTAGCAGTGACTACAGAATTTCAAACACAAGCCCAACTAGCAGGATAAGAGTTGTGGTTTACTGTATCCATGTGATTTTTGGATCTTTAGTAGACATTTCTTTAAAATCTTGGATAAGTTATTGTACAGAAGGTTCAGTGTGGTTAAGTTATGCTTTGTATCTTAATGCCAACATGGAAAGAAGAATTTTATACCTTCTCTTACATAATGGTTGAAGACCTTTCATGTTAAGCACAGGCAGTTATGACACTGTAGCAAGTACGAGATGAAGATGATTATTTGTTATAACTGTCATCATTATGCAATATAGGTTGGTGGAAATCAAAACAAAGAACCATAGATAGAAACTGTTGCCACTTTCAATACCAAAAAAAGTGTATTCTGAGATGGGTGCATACCTTCTCTTAAGCGGTCTACCACAAAAGTAAAGCCTGTAGTTCTTGGGTGTATGACATACTCATATTTCTGAAGTCCATTCTTCTCAGCAAAATCATTACTTCTAGCCTTGCTATTGTCTAAAGAAAAAAATGAAATTATTAGAAACTATAACTTGAGAAGAAAAATATATATTTAAATAAAAACATGGCAGTTAACATTCTGTAATTACTGAATACAGTATGCTGATATGATACAAACAATCTTTGCTTTACAAAGATTCCTGTCTAATGAAATTTTAAAAATTTTATAACAAGGTATCAAAAGCTTTTAATGATTTTTTTCTGAAACTTATGTTCAATTCTTTAAATTATTAGAATTTGGCTGGCCAAATAGCTCAGCAGATTAAAGCGCCTACAAGCAGTTGCAGAAGCTTGGGGTTTGATCCCTGGGCCTGCCATGCCAACCCCACCCCCAGGACACAATGAGAGGTCAATTGAGACGGTGTGGTAGTGCACGCCTGTAATCCCAGCTCTTCAGAGGCTGTAAACTGGCGGATAACTCCGAGTCTGATCTAGTAGTGAGACCCTGAACACCCTGTAGACCCTGTCCTAAAATACAAAAAATAAAAAATAGAGTTCATGAAAGTTAATATATAATGAAAGTGAAATATAAAATATCAAACTAAAATTTTCGTTAAAACCATTTTGTATAAAAATTGAAATTCTAAAATGTAAAATTCTATGATGATAAACTAATATGATGTAAGGATCTAGACATCCAGAAGAAATAACTAGCACTCAAATATATGATCAGGATTGTTTCGTAACTCAGTAACCAAAGTCCTCAGTGTAGGCGACCTGCCTGGCCCAGGCCCTGAGCAGGCTGACGTCACTAACCCAAACCACTGCACAGCAGAAGGGCACAGATTAGCACATCATGCACAAACGTGGTTTGGCTGAACACCGTTAGGAGTTAAGTAGATGTTCCAACTGCTGGCAAAGTCTTCTTTTTCCATTCCATGAGATAACTTTCCAAGTTCCAAGAAGAACCAAACCCATTATTCAGCAAATACACTTGGAAAAAGCAGTGTTCGAAATGTGGCCTCAAAGGCTGGGAGAGACCATGAACACTTCTGGTGACAGCAGATGTTAAAGCCTGCACTCGTTAGCTACACTCTGAAATGTGCAGATTTATGCCATACATGAGAAAAATACCTAAATAAATGCAGGTTTCCTACGTGTTAATTTAAGATCACTGAGTTTCCCAAATTCCAAACACCACAGATGTGTGCCACATTACAAAAATATTTAAAGGGCACTCTTAAGAAGCTCTTAGAGGAATTGATTCAGATATCCTCAGATCTCCAACTAAAAAAGAAAGGCTCTAACCATGCAAATTAATAAGCTCTCACATTTATTTGGAAGTCTCCTGGGCATGAGACTACAAAGCAGGATTTCTATTGTAGGCAGCTGACAGAACTTGAATGAGTTTAGGAATCCCAGAGGCACCACAAAGATGAGGAGTAACTGACTGCTCACCAGTCTTCCCTGGTTAGAAATGCTGGATACCAAAGGTAACAAATACTTGAGTTGTTCCGTACACGTGAGCACAGGTACATCTCGTTTCAAAACGTGCAGTCATGTTGGGAAGCAGAAACAGACGAGTCTGCAGGTTTTCCTCTACCCCTCCCCTTCACCTACCCATCCCCAGAGACCTGCTCAACCCGCAGTAGTATTCGCATTTCTGACCACTACTTCCTGCCTGGGCTATCTCTCCCTGTATCTCCCATGAAGCACTGCTACTCATACCTTGCCTCCAACTAGCCATACAAGGCCCTTGCCTCAGGTGGGTGCAGCTGTCCACCCTTTTTCCAGGAGGTCTCTTACCCATGGACAGTTCCATCTCCAACAAATGAGTAAAAAGTTTTATTGCTATCTACTGTAAACGTTTTCCAAGATACCTTCATTTCCTTTATCAACCTGCTATGGCTCTGTTACCACTTAAGCATTTGTGAAATATATACTTTTTCTTTTGAACTTTTTTGGGGTAACAGGTTCCATAAGTTATTATGGTCACAGTATCAGTCAGTATGCCCACTTGCCTGTTCTCTTTTCCTAAGTTCTGATGGGTGTCCTTCTCAGTGGCAAAGATCTGAGAGACTTCACCTTCCTCCTCTCTGTACTACTCGGGATTCTTTGACTTCCATTCTATCCTGCTTCTGTCTGTTTTCCCTCTTAGAGCAGACCTTCTTCCATTGAGTCTTTCTTCAATTCTTTTTTTTTTTTTTAATGTATTTAGTACAGGGTCTACAGGGTCTCACTACACAGATTGGACTTGTAGTGATCCTCCTGTGTTCAGCCTCCCAAAGGCTAGAATTATAGGAGCGTGCCACTATGCCCAGTCTCAGTCACCATCTCAGTGTGCCCTATAGGCGGGGCCGGGACCACAGGCTAGGGATTGAACCCCCACCCTGCATCTGCCTAAGCAGGTGCTTTAATCCACTGAGCTATCTGGCCAGCCTTCTCTTCTGTGTCTTTCTTGAAGTTGTAACTCCTTCTTGACTAAACTATATCCCTTTCAAACCCATCCCTCCCAGTGCTCAACCAGGCAAGTTCAACTTTTATCCATTTTACATGCTGGACTAGAATAAAATGGCATTTAGTTTAAGGCCTTTTAAAATGACCTGGGAAAATCCTTTTTTAATCATTTTGCATCTGGGAAAGCAGAAAAGTTCCAATACGTCCTCCCAGCCCCCTTGATCACTCAACGGGCTGATCCTTCTTGAGGAGCCCCTCTCCTCTGCCGTGCACACAGCTGAGCATGCACGTACAACTTCGCCTGGCAGGGATGGACGGTGCCCTACAAAGAAGGAGCACTGTTCGGTGCTGCACATGTGCCAGAGCCTTTCCGGCCTGTGTACGCAAAAGGATGAAATGTTAGGACACTGCTAGCAAAGAAATTTAATTCAAAAAAACTAAAGTTAGTTCCTTGCTGATTTTTTTTTCTTATAAGAAAAAAGCTGAGGGGAAAGGGGGCCAAAAGATAAATAAATACCTTGGAAGAGGACAAAAGAATACACAGCCCAGGTGAGGAAAAACTACTTAAGAAATAATTTTAAAGCTCTGCTTATATAAAGACAAAAAGCTGTTTTAAAAAAATATTCTGAAGCTCAAAACAGAAAGTCTGGGAGAGCAAGCATAAATAATGATTGACTGTCTATAATACTATAATAAAGCCAGCAGGCTGGAAACCATGAATCCTGGTCCTGATGTGCCATTCATTAAAGGCATGACCTTATGGGTGGTACATTAATCCTGCTGACATTCAGTTACTTCATCTGAAGGATGAACTGTTTTGACTCGCTAACTGTGTTCCACTATATTCAAAAATTCTGTGCCCCAAATCCAATCTATATTACCTGTGAGATCAGTCCCTTCTGGGAATATGAGGAGTTGAAGTGGTTCACCAATATCACAAAAATAATCAATCATGTCTTCAAAATGGTTCTTGTCATCCTTCCACTTCCTATGAATGAAGATATAAGCAGCAGCCTGCATGGCCCAACCTAGAATGAATGTAACAAATATTTACATATAATTTAATTAATAATCTTCATATATTTCTAAATATATTTGTTCAGGTTTTGTGACTTTACCATAAGCTATTTACTATCAAAATATGCATTCTAGCTGGGCATGGTGGCATAAACCTATAATCTTGGCACTCGGGAAGCTGAGGCAGGAGGATGGCCTTGAGTTTTGAGGCCAGCCTGGGCTACATTAATGAGTGGAAGGCCAGCCTGAACTACATAGCAAGACCCTGTCTCAAAAAAAAAAAAAGTAAGCATTCTATGATATATCGCAAGTTCAGTATCAATCTTGCATTTTAAACAAATAACATGCATTGTAGAATATCTTTAAAGGGGTTTGGTAGTCTAAAAAATTACTTTTCAAGCCAAAACTAGCTAGTAAAATATCAAGACTAGAAACTTCCTTAGTATCTATCCTACCTTGTCCAAGATCTTAACAATCCTAACTAAACAGACCTTTTAGCCAAGCTACCTAAGAAAAAAGAAGACTATGGTAAGGTTTACAAAGCAGGAACCAATTCCTTCCTCAGATCCTGTAAGCATTTTCTGTGCTATTCCCCTTTTTGTATTCCTCAGTCTCTAAATGTGACTGCTACTTTCAGTGCTAGTCACTTTGGATTTTAAAGAAAAAGCGAGGTGTGTGGTGGCTACGTAACATGCTCATCAGCGCTTCCACTGTGCTCGCGATGCCTTTCTCTTGGGCAAATCTATCTTGCTGCACACAAGGCAGCCCTGGATGAGCCTTTCCTCAGATGACTGCCTGGCTTTCTCTGACCACAATGTCTAGAAAGACTGGGAGTTGCCAGGCTCAAGGCAGCCAATCCATGGTCTTTGCAATTGCCCATGAAGCATGAAAATCCTGGGCCAAACAGACTATTCAGGCCAACAAAGATTTGTACTTTCTCAAAAATGTTATCCATGACCATGGTAAGAACAAAGAGCGCAGAAAGCAGGGGTAGATGAGCAAGATAATGACACGGGGGCCAGGGAGATAGCTCAGGGGTCTAAGCACCTGCCTGGCAAGCACAGGGACCTGGGTTTGATCCCTGGTACCACATGCCATGCAGTGCCTACCCTGGGCCCGATGAGCCAGCCACCAAAACCAAGTGTAGTGGGGCACGCCTGTAACCCCAGGGCTGGGGAGGCTAAGACAGGAGGATCAATACAAGTCTGAGCTGCAGAGTGCGACCCTGTACCAAATACATTTAAAAAAAAAAAAAAAAAAAAAAAAAAAGTAATAACACATACTTTAGTAAAGGTTAAAAACACTTACTGCTGAACTAGGTCACCTAAAGCTGACTTTAACTCACAAGAGACAGCTTTAGTTTCCAAAAGTCCCACCAGTCTGAGCAGCCATGTCTCCTACTGCCATGCCTATCTTTTTTTTTGGCGGAACCAGGGATTGAACCCAGGCCCTCATGCTTGCCAGGGAAGCACTTATTCCATTGCGCCATCTCCCCGGCCCCCTACCATGCTTATCTTTACAATACACTTCTTGTTGCAGCCCGCAGGAATGAGCAGTACTTCTGTGCAAACAAAGAGCACTGTTCTGTCCCACAGATACGCATGGCTTACTCGTCTATGCCCCATTAACCCTTTGGCTAGACTCAGTCTGAGACTCTCTCTTCTCCACTAGGAACGTGCCCTCCATTCCAGTTCACTGGGGTAACTTTTCTCTTACGCCTTTCATGTATCCTATTTGCTATACGCCTTTGTGATGTCTTGACCAAAAACCTTCCCCATTTCCCTTTTTTCTATCTTTGGCTGAAATTAAGTTTTCCTTGCCCTTCTACTTCTCTGTAGTAGGAAGACAAGCAAGCTGGACTGTGGAACAAATTCAGTTTACTGTCTTTTTAAAATATGATTTATAAGTTAAGAATATTATTTTGTAATATTAAAAAAATTATGTAACATTAAAACTTCAGGATTTATCAACAAGGCTGCACTGGAATCCAGATCACAGTACATGTTTATATGTCCTGTTCCTGGCTCAGTGGCAAGGTGCAATCGGTGCCATGGAGACAGGATGGCCCACAGCCCGTGACACGGACTACCTCGGCCTTTATAGAAGCAGTGTACTGGCTGTTGGTTTGTAAATTCCACACCCCATTAGTGTTCACTTTCTATTTTTGGCAAATATATTAAACGTACAATTTTGTCAAAACTGAATTACAACAATCTTTCTAAAAAAATATGCTTTCAATTTTATCACTGAATATAAGGGCTTTAAGTTTTTAAAAATTGTAACAGTAGTAATAGCGGAAACTTACACTCTCCTATTACCTACTTCTCTGCTTACAAAATCTGTCCATTATCCCATCGTTGCCCAGACTGTTGTTACCATTCTGTACACTTCACAGAAATGGTGCTTATTACTCGGACTTGACCTTAAGTTCTGTTGGCTGCTTTGCTTATCACTGTTTTTGTGTTTTCCCTTTTCTTCAAAAGATTTCTTTGAAAACATATTTGCATCTTTGCCTTCTGAAATGTATTTGCTTTGTTCTCAATTTTAGAACCTAATTTGGCTAAAAACAAAATCTAGTTTCCGAATTATTTCTGATAGAAATCTTTCATGTAATATAGCTGGTAAGAAGACTAACATCAATCAGATTTATGTAGTTAACTTCTATTACTCTTTTGGAAGCTTTGGGTTTTTTAAAAATCTTTGATTTTATAGAATTTTACCAGTATGAGCCTAGCTATGGAATTTTTTTCATTAATTTTACCTAGCAGTTGCCAAACTTACAATATTTGATCCTTTAATATTGTGAGCATTCCTTCCATTATTAAAACCAGTTTCTTTCCTCCTCATTCTCTCATATATTTTCTGTCCAGAGCTTCTGTTAGATATAAAAAGTTGTGGATATCTTTTCTCATACTTTTTGTCTTCTGATATCTTTTTCATTTGACATTGTTTTCAAGGAAAATCCCTTTTCTTGACCATCCAGCTCACAAATCTGACCATTAGCTGTGTCTGTTCTAACAACTGCATTTATTTCAACAATCGTATTTTTACTTTCACAATTTACAATTTATTCTTTTTCATACCAGTCAGCCAACTTTTATGAGTAGATAGCAAAATTACAATAAAAATTCTTACTGAATGTTTATTATATGCTTAATACTATTTTATGCATTATTCATTAATTCAGTTAATCCAAGATAACTTTATATATTAAGTAAAAATTATTATCCCTACTTTCTAGATGAGGAAACTGAGGCATACTGAAATTCAAACAACCTGTAAGTGCTAAATCCAGATTTCAAACAAGGATAGCCTGACCCTAAATCTCATGAGTTCATGTTTTAATTCACTGAAATATTAAAGTCTCTCTATAACTGAATCCCTCTAAGGATATTAATGACATGTAATTCAAAATCTCTGCTGAGAATTGCTACTTGGAGATTAGCCGCCGCCCCACTTTCAGTACTAGCTACTCTTTCCTGTTGGCATTGTCTTCATATTAGCGAAGGATGTGCTAGTCAGAACAGCTGTCACAAGTAAAATGCATTCCTCATTCCATGTGAGAATAACTTCCCTCTGGGGACAGGGAGTGGCAGCAATATTCACGGAGTTGTGTTGTAATACTTTTCTAATAATCTGTATTTGCAAAAAACTTTAGAGTGAGAGATAAAACAGCTGCATCTTTTGGCTTCTTGGACCTTCTCACTGAAGATCTAATGATTCACTAAGTCTTCAGTTTATGTCTCCTTTGCATATCACCAATGCTTTTAAATCTTTTTACTTCTGTTAGCTCAAACTATCTTCTGTTTTACCTCATGAAGCCCACAGAATCATCCTGTGGGGCTTTTCTCTGATTCATTGTCATCAATGCGTATTTTATGCATTTTAAAGCAATATTCAGACTTTAAACTTGAGACTGCTAAATATATTTTTATTACATTTATTTGAGATAATTAAATTCACTTGTCTTTAAAAAAAAAAACCTGTTTTTCACTTTTCCATGTGAAACCATTGTGTCACAAAGATCATCAAAAAATACTCGTTTTATTGAATGTATACTTGGGCATAAACAGGAGTTACACAAATAACTCCAGAATAAATAGTCAAAATTCTAAGATTTTCAACTTCTATCAGGGTGCTAAATGCTATACAGATAAAGTTAGGAAGCTCCAGTTTTCCAGAAATCACATTAAAAATTCAGTAATATCCTCTACACCCTTCTAACATGATTAATTTCCATGAAGTCATTGGGTTTTAAAAATACTGAGTGAAGACAATTTTATGACCTTTTCCTTAAAATATTGCTGCTGTAGTTTCCCTACATTACTGTATTTCCAATGTGGCTGGGCTAAACAGATATCAAAGTATAAGCACCCAATTATTATTCTAAAGCAAATTCAATTCTAACTATAATTTCAGACTCACAGATAAAACTGGATTAAAAACATTCTTCCTCCAAATTTCACCACACTCCACAAAGACAGAGATTATCATATTTACCTGAAGACTAAAGAAATTCTTGCTTTACTTTAAGGACAAGCTCATTTACTAATGGCTTTTGGGTGGCATGATAAGGTTTGGATGTGATTATAATTTGTAATTTTACGCTCATGTAGGACCTAAACTTACTTCTATACTTTGAGATTTGCCATTTGATCAATAATCTCAAGAATTTACTCCATAAGAGGGCTGGCCAAACAGCTCAATGGATTAAGAGTTCGATCCCCCGGCCTGCCGTGCCAGCCCCAACCCCAGGGCACACTGAGAGGGCAATTGAGACAGGACGTGGTAGTGTGTGCTGTAATCCCAGCTCTTGGGAGGCTGTAATCAGGCAGATCACTACAAGTCCGATCTAGTAGTGAGACCTTGAACACCCTGTAGACCCTTCGAAAGAATTTACTACATAAGAGATCTATTACTGTTGAAAAACCAATTCCTAAATTAAGACATCCTAGTAGCAACAAATATATGGTAGGCAGAAGACACCCTCTTCAAGATGTCCATGCCCTAA